GTGAGATGTGGGGCACCCTGGGATTTGCGTCTATTCTTGTGGACGCCACGACAATGGACACCCTAAGAGTCCTATCATTGAACTTAAGATGTGTTTACAATGTCGGAAAAATGTTCGAAACATGTTTCAAACGTGTGCTTCACATGTTCAAAGTATGCTTGCTTTCTCTCCATTAACCGACTTCCACAAGTCTATTATCTTGCACAGCTGTGGTCTAGAGATGGGACATCTTTATCTTCGTTCCTCGGCGTCGTTCGTTCGTTTGTCGTTCGTCCTCCCCCCCTGGCCACAGAAGGAAACTCCTGGAGGAAGAGGGCGAAAGCCTCCTGTCCCTCGCAGCTCCTTGGTGCAAGAGCCAGGGCGCGCGTGCCGCTTGTTTATGTGTGCGCCCCTGGGCCCCGTCAGAACATGCTGACGCCGCCACGCTGCGCCGGTTCAGGCTCACGCTGGGCCGGGGCCTGCCCTGACTCCGGGTCCACCATGCTCTGGTCGATTTTTACCTAACAGCTCTTGCTGATAGGTTTCTAGTGGTCTCAAAAGAGAGCATCATGACTCCTCAGGGGGGTCTGGGCGGGACCCGGAGAGGCTGCCGCCGAAGCCGAAATCGCTTAGGACATCCTCGCAAAATCGCTCTTGGGGCTCCCAGAACTCCACTCCCGGGCCACATTTTGGATGCCCAGAGCCAACTGTAGGCCACTTCGTGCTCTTCGACTTCCCAGAACTCCAATCCCGGGCCACATTTTGGATGCCCGGAGCCAACTGTAAGCCACTTCGTGCTCTTCGATTTCCCAGAACTCCATTCCTGGGCATGATTTTGAATGCCCGGAGCCAACTGTAGGCCACTTCGTGCTCTTCAAGTTCCCAGAACTCCATTCCTGGGCATGATTTTGAATGCCCGGAGCCAACTGTAGGCCACTTCGTGTTCTTCTAGTTCCCAGAACTCCATTCCTGGGCCACATTTTGAATGCTGAGGCAGGCTGATGCTGCGGCCGAGGCAGGCTGAGGCTGAGGCAGGCTGAGGCTGAGGCCGAGGCTGAAGGCAGACTGAGGCTGAGGCTGAAGCAGACTGAGGCTGAGGCTGAGGCAGGCTGAGGCTGAGGCTGAAGCAGGCTGATGCTGAGGCAGGCTGAGGCTGAGGCTGAGGCTGATGCAGGCTGAGGCTGCAGGCTGGCTGAGGCCGAGGCTGAAGGCAGACTGAGGCTGAGGCTGAAGCAGGCTGAGGCTGAGGCTGAGGCAGGCTGAGGCTGAGGCAGGCTGAGGCTGAGGCTGAGGCAGGCTGAGGCTGAGGCTGTGACTGCGACTGCCGTTGCCGCTGCGACTGTCATCGCGAATGCGACTATGACTGCGAGAACAGCAGAATTCGACAACTGGATTTTCATCTGAATCTTAAGGGGAATGCTTTCAGATATGCTTCTACACATCGCTGTTAGGTTGCTTTGCCGGGATAATTGTTCCGACTGGAAGTTGTTGGAGATGCACCCCCGAGCATGCGAAAAAATAGGGCGGACATTCCCGCCTCGGGTAAATAGGGCGGATGTTCAGCAAGAGCATGCCGGAAACAGCGACGGCAATGTCCAGTGGAAATCGGCATCCGAGGAGCTTGAGCAGTGGGGCGGAAACTTCCGCTCTGCTTGCGGAATCGCCCGAGACAATTCGGCGGACCCGGGGTCGGGGAGGGCCTGCTGGCCTTTGGCTAGAGGCCGACGTGCGCACGGCGGGTTCCCAACGCTGCGTGGATCGCTCAACCGCAAGCGAGCAGCGGCCTCCCGGTGGCCAAATCGCCGATCCTGGGCCACGGGCCGCAGCGGAACCCTGAGCGCCCCGCGCCGGGGGTCGCCGCCGCGAAGGCACGACGAGGGAGTCACGAAAGGACGCACGCGCCCAACCGTGTACGTGAACGCGGCCCCTCGGTCTGCGAGACTGGCCGCGTGATACAAACATTCGCGCAGTGCGTACTCTCGAGGCCAGCGACGCGGATTCGTGTTCTTGTGCGTCCTTCTCTCACTCCTGAGCGGCACGAGCCGGCCGCACCCGAGACCAAGGCGTGGCCGCACGGTCGGCCGGAGCTGGCCTGGTGGCAGCGCGTGCACGCGCTTTTGCTCGCATGGGGGCAGGCGGAAATTTGAGGGACGGAATCCCTATGGACCCCGGGGCTTTCCCCCAGGGCCGCCTCCTCCTCCTCCTCCTCCTCCTCCTCCTCCTCCTGCTCCTCCTCCTCCTCCTCCTCATCCTCACCTTTTTCGTCTCCCTCCTCCCTCATCCACCTTTTTCGTCTCCCTCCTGCTAAGGGCCCACTCTGCGTCCTGGACGGTGTCCCGACAATCCTGGGGCCCGCGGGGGGGGGGGAAGAGAACCCGCAGCGAAGCGAGGAACGGGAAAGAACCCCTCAAGACACGTGTCCCTTCACAGTCAGGCCCCCGACAGCATGCTTGTTTCGCCACGCGGGCCACCAGGAGGTCTGGACTCCTTCCCCAGGACCGGCTTCCCACCCCGAGCCATTTTTGTAGGTCCTGGGGCCCGGCGAGGGCCCCAGCAGGCCGGAAGAGAGTGCGCAGAGGCCTTCCGCCTTGCTGCTTGCTTGTCCACGGCGCGAGGGGGGTCCTCCTCCTCCTCCTCCTCCTTTTCTCCTCCTCCTTCTCCTCCTCCCTCCTCCTCCTCCTCCTCCTCCTCCTCCTCCTCCTCCTCCTCCTCCTCCTCCTCCTCCTCCTCCTCGCTGGGACCCCGCCAAAAAGGTCTGCCCTCCGCGGGGGGCCTCTTGTGGGCGGACCGCCGGGAGCCCGCGCTCTCGGAGTCGCTGGAAGGGATGAAGAAGTGCTCCTCGGCATCGCTTAACAACGACGACGACGACGACGACGACGACGACGACGGCGGCGGCGACGACGACGACGACGACGACGGCGGCGGCGGCGGCGGCGGCGGCAGCTGCGGCGGCGGCGGCGGCGACGGCTGCTGCGGAATAATGATATGCGGTTATTGTTGGGCGTTGGCTGCCCTCAGTTAACCCCCGACAAGCATGAGTATCCTGGCTAAGGACCCAACACTATACGGGTGCGAATGCCGCAGGGCAGGTGGGACGACCGAAGGGCAGCTCCCTGTTGGGCCACGAGGCGTGAGGCGTGATGCGGTGCGGGTACGGGTACGCCATGCGAACGTAGCCCCTGGGGCCTTCGGTGGAGCTCCCTCCCTATGGGGCCACGAAGCCTGCGAGGGTGCGCCGAAATAGGGGTGGAACTGCATGCGGGCCCTGCCACTGGGGCGTTCGGATGAACTCCCTACGGGACCATGTATCTTGTGAGGAACGCGCCGAGATGGGGTACGGAAATGTATGCGGACCCTGCCACTGGGGCCTTCGGTAGAGGTTCGTGTAGGACCACGAAACTTGCGAGGAGTGCGCCGAAATAGGAGTGGACCTGCATGCGGACCCTGCCACTGGGGCCTTCGGCGGAGCACCTTACGGGGCCACGAAACCTGTGAGAGGGGGCGCCGAAATAGGGGCGGAACTGCATGCGGACCCTGCCACTGGGGCCTTCGGAGGAACTCCCTACGGGACCACGTACCTTGTGAGGAATGCGCCGAGATGGGGGCAGAAATGTATGCGGACCCTGCCACTGGGGCCGTCGGTGGAGCTCACCACGAACCTGCGAGGGATGCGCCGAAATAGGGGTGGACCTGCATGCGGGCCCTGCCACTGGGGCCTTGGGTGAGGCTCCCTATGGGGCCACGAAACGTGTGAGGGGTGCGCCGAAATTGACATGCGGAAAGCAGAAGCCGATGATGATGACGATGATGTCGATGACGATGACGATGACGATGGCAATGACGATGACGATGATGCTGACGATGACGCTGACGATGACGATGGTGATAGTGATGATGATGATGAGGAGGAGGAGGATGTGGAGGAGGGTGCTGGTGGTGATGATGATGATGATGATGATGATGATGATGGTCATGATGTTGATGCCGACGATGACGATGATGATGATGATCATAATGATGGTGATGGTGATGGTGATGGTGATGGTGATGGTGATGGTGATGGTGATGGTGATGGTGATGGTGATGGTGATGGTGATGGTGATGGTGATGGTGATGGTGATGACGATGATGACGATGATGATGACGACGGTGACGATGGTAATGATGATGATGATGATGATGATGGTGATGATGATGATGATTGTGTTGATGAGGACGATGATGGTGATGGCGATTATGATGATGGTGGTGAGGCTGATGATAAGGATGCTGATGCTGGTGGTGATGGTGAAGATGACGGTGATGATGATGATGATGATGAGGAGGATGATTATGATGATGACAATGATGATAACGACGGTAACGCTGATGATGATGGTGATGATGATGATGGTGATGATGACGACGATGATTGTGATGAGGAGGACGATGATGATGATGGCGACTATCATGATAGTGGTGGTGCTGATGATAATGATGATGATGCTGATAATGATGGTGAAGATGACGGTGATGATGATGATGATGCTGATGATGATGATGATGAGGATGGTGATGATGATGACGACGATGATGATGATTATGATGATGGTGGTGATGAGACTGATGATGGTGTTGATGATGGTGATGATGATGATGATGATGATGATGATGATGAGGATGGTGCGGATGATGATGATGATGATGATGATGATGATGATGATGATGGTGATGATGGTGATGATGGTGATGATGGTGATGGTGATGATGATGATGATGCTGATGATGATGAGGAGGAGGAGGAGGAGGAGGAAGAGGCGGAGGAGGAGGAGGAGGAGGACGGAAAGGAGCAGGGGGAGGAGGAGGAGGAGCAGCAGCAGCGGGAGGAGCAGGAGGGGGAGAAGGCGGATGAGGATGATGAGGAGGAGGAGGGGAGGAGGGGAGGAGGAGGAGGAGGAGGAGGAGGAGGAGGAGGAGGAGGAGGAGGAGGAGGGAGCGGGAGGAGGAGTGAGGAACGCAGGGCGCTATCTCTTCAGAACGAGGACACAACACCACAGGACGGTTGGGAATTAGTTGCCCATAAAAGGGGAGTATGCAAGACCTATCGTGGTTAACCGATCCCTGTCCCCACTGGGCTAGCCTGGGCCCCACTGGCCGATTTACCCCACTAGATGGGGATATGGGCTGTTCCCTTCAGGTTTCGACTATCCCCGACCGGGGTGACGGGATGGTGGGGCTGAGATGCCATGGCACGGTGGGAATGGGGATAAGTAGAACGATACTGGGGAGGTGCTCCGCCCCCGAGGCGTCGCTGCCGCCCAGCGCGTGGGGCAGCGGGGTGCCGCAGGCCTCACAAGCCTCCCAGGCTCGGAACGTCGTCGTCGCCGTCGCCGTCGCCGTCGCCGTCGCCGACGCCATCGCCGCCATCGCCGCCGCCGCCGCCGACGCCGCTGTCGTCGTCGTCATCGCCGTCGCTGTCGTCGTCGTCGTCGTCGACACAGTGGGGAGGCGCGCACGGTTGCGCTGGCCTGCAGAGCCGGGAGGCGCGGAGAAAGAAAGAAAGGCATAAACATTAACTGTTGGAGCTCCGCGCGGATTTAGTGAGCGTTTTCTTATTCGGCGTTTCGACATTGGGCGGAAGGGGGGGAGGAGGGGGGTCTGGCTCTGGACCTCTGGATAACGCCACTGTTTGCAACAGTATGTCCTGTGGAGGAGACCCCGCGTGCTCGAAACAGGCGCCCAAAACAGCCAAGCTGTACTCCATGGCGGGGGAGGGAGAGGGGGGGTGCGAGGGCCCGCGCCGACTGGCAGAACAACGAATAAGAAAACGATCACTTATTGGATCGGCGTTGACCCCCTTGTGGTGCCTGTGGTGCCTCCGGCGCTGCCCCTGGCACGCTCCGCGCGCCAGGCAAGGGGATTCAGCGACGACCCAAGAGAACCGCGCGGACCTTCCAGAATTGCGTAGTGTTCATCCCGCTTCTTCTTAGAAGAGTCGCGTCTGCGTGTTTCGCCTCGTGCGGCCCCGCCCTCGACTTCTGATGAAAACTCGCGGCCCAGTGAATCACGACAAAATGCCATTTGTACAAGCCAGTCGGCCGACCTGCCAGACAGCCAACCGACTAGAAAATACCAGAAATCCAAACAATCAGGCAACCACCCGCGTCGATGCTGATACGTTGGGCCGGGTCGAAGTCGATCGATCTCAATATCAACAGATGTGTCGATATATCTATCTATCTATCAACCCCATTATCGACGTATCGATATCACGATCAATCAAACGACTATCGGGGCAACCAACGGGACAACCATCGGGACAACCATCGGGACAACGATCGGGACAACCTTGGGGACAACCATGGGGACAACCATGGGACAACCATGGGGACAACCATGGGGACAACCATGGGGACAACCATCGGGACACCTGTCGGGACAACCGTCGGGACAACCATCGAGACAACAGTCGGGACCTGCGTCGGGACAACTCCAGGACAACCCCGGCCCCAAAGCCGCCAACCAGACCAAAGAGAAACCTCTACCCCACGCACGCAGCTGCGCCTCCCCCACAAGCATGGCACGAACACGAACACGAGCACGAAACCGTTTCCCCGCTGGGGGTCTCATTGTAATTTCGACCTCACCCCATCGATCTTCGATCATACATACTCATAAATAAATGATTAGATCGATGGAGGGCCTTGGGTTCAAAACTGCACAAAAGGTTTGGGGTTCTAGGGCTTCTCCCAGGTCGAAGAGAGCCTCGAGACGCTTTCAAGGGTCTCAAGATGACCCGAGATTGCTCCAAGACTTCACAGAATGGCCCCAACACAGCCAAAGAGGCCCCCAGGACGACCCAAGAGGCCCTCAGGACGGCCCGAGAGGGCCCGAAGAGGACGTCTCCAGAGGCAGAACATGCTGATGTACCGCATTCGCTTGCAAAGAAAAAAATCTCGCCCTCTCGGACTTCCCGCCCTCTCGGACTTCCGACACCCCAAGACAGCCCCAGAGGCTTCAAAGATCCGCCACCGTGCCTTGTGAACGTTGGGGCGTGGAAGAATGCCAAGGGCTGCCAGGTAGGGTCTTTTCTCCCGAGGCTCCCTGGGCAGCGATCCCTCATACAGAAAACGATTGATCCGTGCCCCGAGCTTCCCAGGCGACCTCGGCAGGCAACCAAGGCCGTCAAGACGGCCCAAGATGCCTCGAAGGCGGCCCAAGACGGCCCCAAGGCGACCAGGATGGCCTCAAGACGGCCCAGGATGCCTCCAAGAGGGCCCAAGAGGGCCTCAAGAGGACCCCCAGCTGGGCCCGAAGAAGCCCAAATCATTGACGTTCCAGTGGTTGCTGAAGAATTTTCGCATTCTCGCCTTCTCGGGCCTCGGTCAGCTCAAGATGGCCCAAGAAGCCTCCAGGATGGCCCGAGAGGGCTCCATGATGGCCCAAGAGGCCTCACAGACGGGCCCTACCTCGCTGCAGAGGGCCCCAGGAGGGAGCCAATATGGCCTCAGAGGGCCTCTCGACGGCCCAAGACGGCGCCGAGAGGGCCCCGCGACGGCCCCACGACACCCTGCACACAGCCAAGAGACAACAAGACGGCCCCAGAGGGTCCTAAGGGGATCCCCAGGACTGCCCCGCGGGAGCCCAGGCCAGCCCAAGGACGGCCAGCATGAGGTCCATGAGAGCTCCTCGAGAAGTGAATACGAAAAGTGTCAAAAGTGGCGGCTCTCCTCTTCTCCCTCATCCTCCTCCTGCTCCTCGTCCGCCTCCTCCTCACCATCATCAACAACAGCATCATCATCATCATCAGCATCATCATCAACAACAGCATCATCATCATCATCAGCAGCAGCATCAACAACATCAGCATCGACAACAGCAACAACAACACCCTCAACAGCAACACCAACAACAACATGAGCACCATCACCACCATCATCATGCTCATCACCAACAACACTAACAAAATCATCACCAGCATCATCACCACCACAATCATTATCATCAGCATCGACATTCCCGTCATCGTCCTTCTCATCCTCTTCATCATCGCCATCGCCATCGTCACCAACATCATCGTCATCGCAATCATCACCATCATCATCACCATCAACATCACCATCACCACCATCACCATCATCATCATCATCATCATCATCATCATCATCATCATCATCATCATCATCATCATCATCATCGTCGTCGTCGTCGTCGTCGTCGTCATCGTCAACATCAGCATCATCATCATCATCATCATCATCATCATCAGCAGCAGCAGCATCATCATCAGCAGCACCATCATCAGCATCATCATCAGCATAATCATCAGCAGCATCATCAGCAGCATCAGCATCAGCATCAGCATCAGCATCATCAGCAGCAGCAACATCATGTTACCCATCCCCATCGTCCGCCACAATCCTCCTCTTCCTCATTCTCTCTATCTTCTCTTCATCATCTGATCGTCATCGTCATCAGTATCGTCCCCATCGATTCGAACAGCTGCCACCGAGACTGCTGGACTGGCACGGTGGCGGGACTCGCCCCCAGGCAGCTGGGTAACCCCAAGAAGGCCCAAGAAGCCCCCAAAAGGGCCCTAGGACGGCCCAGGAGGGCCCCAAGGCGGCCCAAGAGGCCCCCAAGACAGCCCCAGGACGGCCGAAGCGGGCCCAAGGACGGCCCACGAGACCCCCAAAGTGGCTGGTGGAGGCCCCAAGGAAGCACCACAACGGCCCAGAGAGACCCCAAGACGGCATCCGAAGGCGCCATGCGGCCCAGCAGCGCCCGAAGACGGCCCGAAGACGGCCCCGAGACGCCCCGGCCCGGGCCTCCCAAGCAAGCCACTGGCACGTCCGAAAGAACGACTGCAGCCGTGGGCCGCAACGTGCTGCGCTCTTCTGCAAGGTCCATCCCTGGTCTGCAGGGTCCTGGCGTCTGGTGGCCCAGCGAACCGCACTCCTCTGGGGGGCTCGTCGGCGTTGCCACCGCCGTCGCCGTCCCTCTCGCCGCGTCGCCGCGCCTCGTCGCTGTCGTCGTCGCGGTCGCCGACGCTGCCGTCGCCGCCTCCTGGCCCGGGTCGTCGCAGAGGAGGGTGCACGCGGCGCAGGCGCGGCGCATGGCCCGGCCCGCGACGCCACGCCCCCACCGACGGGGGCCAGGGCCCGAGACGGCTGCCCACGCGCGCCCGCCGCTCGTGCCACTCTCGCGTTGAGAGAACGAGCATCGCGTTGAGAGGAAGGGGCCGGGAAGATCTGGGGCGCGACGGTGCAAGAAGCACCCTCGGTGGAGGGCAGAGCATCCACCCCGATAACAACCACTCCGACACGCGAGGCCGTGTAGCAAACGCGCCCAAAAAGGAAATCGAACAGGGCAGGGCTGCTTAGCAAGCGCCCAGGGCCGTTTAGTAAACGCCAATTGTCTGGTCCTGGAGGCTTTTCCTCACTTGACTCAGCATACGCGGAAAAGATTGATGACGCGTGATTGTTTCTCCCCGCCCCATCCTCCCGACCCGATAGTTCTCTTTTCGACACGTCGTCCCCCTTTTCCTCACTATCTTAGAAGCCCGCTGCTACTGATCGGGCCTTCGTTGTGCAATGCTTCAGGCAGAGTTGTCCCGCTTGGGGCAATCGCACCCAAGGGCTCATGTTCTGCGCGTGGCACTCAGGCCTGCGTAAGATCTCCCGCAATTTCGCGATACCTTGGAACTGGCCTCTAAGCTCTTCCGTCCCCTGCTGTTGATCCTCCCGATCCGCCATCTGCTGGGGGGGCATACATGAGGGTCTACACAGGCCAAGTGGCGTCTACACTGGCCGAATCGTGTCTACACAGACCACGCAGCCTTCACTGGCCAAGTGGAGTTTTCACCAGCTGGGCCTCTCAAAAAAAGTGATGTTCGGTGCTCGCTGTTTTGAGACGAAAATGGGTGACTATATGCTGTAAGTACTGAAACCATGGAGTGTTAATAGATTCGTCCATTTTGACTTGCCAGTGCAATGACCACCCTGGCTGGTGTAATGACTATGTCGGGAAAACCGTGGTGGTGACAATGACTGTATGCTGGAAACAGTGGCAATGGCGATGAAGATTGCGATGGTGATGATGATGATGATAACAGCGGTGATGAATGATGCTGATGATGATGATGAGATGAAGATGATGATGTTGTTGTTGTTGATGATGATGATGATGATGATGAAGAAGATGACGGTGATGGTGATGGTGGTGGTGGTGATTACACGACGGCGATGATGATGATGTTACGATGAGATGCTGACGACGAGGAGGAGGATGATGATGATGGTGGTGATGATGATGACAATGATGATGATGATGATGATGATGATGATGATGATGATGATGACGATGATGACGAGGGCGATGATGATGATGCTGATGATGACGAGGAGGGGGAGGAGGAGGGGAAGGAGGAGAAGGAGTAGGAGGAGAAGGAGGAGGAGGACAAGGAGGAGGATGGTGGTGGTGGTGGTGATCAGGGCGAGGCCTCGTTGATCGGGACGCGGTCATGACCACATGTCCTTGACGAAGGAGGAGGAGGAGGAGGAGGAGGAGCAAGAGGAGGAAGTCAAACGCATCCCCAAAAACATGCAAAAACCTCCGCAAAGGGTTGACAGGGATTGAAACTACCAGGAATGAACCGCGATGCTCGCTGGCGGCCTTGCCCGTCCTCGGAGCAGTGCGTAGAAGTATCCTTGCGAAGGGCCCAGCCATATGCAGTTGGGAGCACCACAAGGCAGGAGGAACAAAGGTGGGGTGACGAAACGTGTGAGTGGTGTGCCGAAATGGGCGGGGTGGGGGCGTTCGGGCGCTGCCACTGGGGCCTTTGGCGGGGCCCCCTGTAGGGCTACAACGCGTGCCAGTGGTGTGCTGAAATGAGGCGGTGGGGACATGCGAACCCTGGCATGTGGGCCTCAGTTGGAGCTCCCTTTGGGGCCACGAAACGTGTGAGGGGTGTGCCGAAAAACAGCTGCGGGGCCATGCAAACCGTGGCATCTGGGCCTTAGCCGGAGCTCCCAGTGGGGCCACGAAGCGTACGAGGGGATGTGAGGGGTGTACAGAAACGAGGCGGCCGGGCCATGCGAACCCTGGCATGTGGGCCGTAGCTGGAAGTGCCTACGGGGCCACGAATCGTGTGACGGGTGTGACGAAACGAGGTGGCGGGGCCATGCGAACCCTGGGATTTGGGCTTTAGTTGGAGCTCCCTGTGGGGCCACGAAAACGGTGAGGGGTGTGCCGAAGCAGAGACATGCGGAGGGCAGAGGCAAGGAGGGGGAGGAGAGGAGGAGGGGGAGGAGGAGAGGAGGGGGAGGAGGAGAAGGAGGAGGAGGAGGCGGAGGAAGAGGAGGAGGAGGAGGAGGAGGAGGAGGAGAAGGACGCGGGGCACTCTCTCTTCGAAACAAGGACCCAACACCACAGGATCGTTGGGCAACACGGTTCGGCGCTGTTCGCGAGCATCTTATGCTCACTGGTGGCCCTGCCCGTGCTGGGGGCAGCAGCAGGAATAGGAAGAGGAAGAGAAGAAAATATGTGGAGGAGAGATGAGGAGGGAGGCTGATTGTTGGTGAGCTGGAGGCGGGGGTAGGCCTGCGCACATTCTTGTTCGTACGGAGCTCGCAAGGCACATCGTGTCGGACGCTGGCGGTGGCATCAAATTTCCCCCATGCACCAGCGATCTCGTCGATACCTGGGTGTGCTGACCTAGACACGGTGGCATCGCACAGAGGCTTTTCAAGAGAGCCCCAAGAGGGCCCAGGAGGCCTCCAAAATGTCCCTCAGAGGGCTCCACGATGGCCCTAGCGTCGCCACGGCATGATTCATCTGCGTGCGGGTTTTCCCCTCTGGGTGGCCCTGGCCCCTGTTGGGCTCCTAGAAAGGTATCAACAATCAAAAAGATTGGAAAGGCTTGCTAGAGCCTGCGTGAGCTAACTCTGAGCCTCCAAGGAGGCTCAGGGGGGGGGGGGGGGGGGGCAGAGGGCGAGTCGCGGCGAACCTCCCATTCCCCCCCAGCACCTCAATTCTCTTGGAGGCCCACTGGCGGCCCCAAGACAGCTCAATACGGCTCCAAGACGGCTCCAGACGCGCCCAGCTGTCCCCGAGATGCGCCCCACATGGCCCAAGGCGGCTCCAAGGTGGACCAAGATGGGCCAAGAGGCCGTCAAGACACCCCAGAAGGGCTCCACGAGGACCCCCGAGAGGCAGAACACGGATGCTCCTCTGGTGCTCCAGAAGCGTAGCGTTCTAGCATGTTCGAGCCACCGACGCTCCAAGACGACCAAGATCGCCCCAAGATGGCCCAGGAGGCCCCCGACATCACCCCGACAGGGCGCCGCAGGACCCGACGACGGCACGCGGGGCCCCCAAGACGGCCCCCAGGGGGCCCCAAGCATGCCCAGAGAGGGGCTCCAGAGGGCGAACACGACGAGCCGACGTTTTGAGCTTCTCGGCCCAAGAAGCCCCCCAGGACGGCCCCAGGGGGCCTCCAAGAGGCCCCCCTGGCAGGCCCCAAGAGGGCCCCCCGAGGCCTCAGCGGGCTTCCAGGAGTCGGCGGCGAGCGAAAGGAGGCCGCGAGAAGAGGAGAAGACCCTCTCAGGAGGTGGCGTGGCTTCTCAGAAGCCCTCTGGCCTTCTGCAAAGCGGTCTCCCTGTCTTCGGGGAAGGCCTAAGCAACTGCTCAAGAGGCCCGAGGCCTTCCGAGCCTTCGGAGACGGCCCGCCACCTCTCACGTCTCCCCCCCTGGGCTGGCCGCCGAACGAGGCCTCTCACGGGGAACCGAACTCGATACGCCGACGCTGCTTCCGGCCCCGTGCTGACATCTGCGCAGGAGGACGGATCCTGGTGGACACGGGGCCCCGGTGTGTACATGTTCCGTCGCTTCCCGGGGAAGCGGACAAACAAAGCATAGACCACGCCACCCTGGCGTCGCCCCCGACCCTCAGAGAACCCTTGGCATGGAACAGCGGCCCGCGGCTGGTAGTGCCTGTGCTCCAGCTTCCGAGTCTCCTGGACGGCGATGCTTAAGTCGGGCCTGTCCCCCTACAGGGGGATGTTCGACGAACAAGAAAACATACCCCAAAAATAATCCAAAAACAGTCCGAAAATAGTCTGGGGACTATTTGTTTGGTATTGTTTGACCTTTTTGGTGCATTTGTGGGGTATGTTTTATTTTTCGTCGAAAATCCCCCTGTAGGGGGACGCGCCCGACTTGAGGCGAGGCCCACGTGCCTCGGCGCCGAGTCCTGGGCCACCCCGCCGGGCCTGCCAGCTCGGCGCCCAGCCTTCCGCACCGCCGGACCCCAAGGCCAGAGGAGCACTCGGGAACACGAGGCCCACCGTCGGCCGAAGCACACACACACACACACAAACACACACACACACACAGAGAACATCCAAGGGCACCCTCCCCAGGATGCACAGGAGCACCCAACACACACGAGGAACACTGGGGAGCACCCTCCCCACTCTCCCAGAGATCCGACGTCATGACTTCTTCAGTACGCGGTCCCCGGAAGGCTCGACCCATTCCCCAGGACCCGTTGCTCCTCCTGCGTCATTTTTTGACGGTCCCGGGGCCCGGCGAGGGCCCCTTGAGGCAGAAGATTGCGAAAACCCTGCGTCTTGACTTTTTCAGTGCGTTGGGAGGAGGAGGAGGAGGAGGAGGAGAGGAGGAGGAGGAGGAGGAGGAGGAGGAGGAGGAGGAGGAGGAGGAGGGGGAGGAGGAGGAGGAGGAGGAGGAGGAGGAGGAGGAGGGAGGGGGAGGGGGAGGAGGAGGAGGAGGAGGGCGCCCCAAGAGGCCCCCGAGGGGCCCCGGCGTCGCCACGCGGCGGGGCCCCGACCGGCGCGCGGGCGCTCCCCTTCGAGGGGGGCCCGCCGTGCCCCCGCGCCCTGCGGGGCTCTCCGCGCGGCGGGCTCCCTGCGGGCCCTGGCCGTCTCGGGGGCTGCTGGAGGCGTGGCGGAGCAGATCAGAGGTGGAGGTCTCGAGGCGAGCCCAGACCTCGGGCGTCTCGAAAGAATCGAGGCGGCGGTTGTTCGTGGTTTTCGGCCTCTCGAGGCCCTCGCCTGGCCTCGGGACCGTCAGAAGACGACTCGGGGCGAGAAACCAGTCCCGGGGAAGTGGTCGGGAGGTCGGGGCCCCGTGTCTCGAAAACATCGAGACGTC